TAGTAAAGTACAATATCTTAGATTAACATGCATCCATACCCCAAACACACAATCGGTCATAAACACATACTGTTAATACTAAAGTACTTAGTTAGGCCTAATGCGTTATAACCCCCCCCCCCCCCCCCCCCCACACCCAATAAATATTCTGATTTTCTGAGAGAAAAAATAACATAGGATAAGTGGCTCCTCCAGCTTTCCAATTGAAAAATATATTTAAACCCTATTACTCCGAGTCTGGAAAAGGGTATCGTCTACTAAGTTACACATCCAATACGTACATTAAAACAACACACTATATAAATATATGTATGTCAACATTAATGCACACTCGTTATAAAAGCAATCACAGCTTTGTGTTGACGAATTTGTCTTCTGGGCTGAATAAATCCAAGCATAACTTTCGGATATTTTACATATGAATTTCTTTTGTAACTTTAATATGCATAATCTGCTTGAAGAGGAATTAGCTCAACTAACACGATTGTGGTTATTAATGCTTCACACAATGCATTAGGTTTATTCGGCCTATAAACCAATAAACCTGTGCTTGTTGTTTTATTCTGATATAGCTTCATTATGTTGGTTTTGTCTCCATTTGAATGAAATGAATTATGTTTTTAATTATTATTATTTTATATTTACCTACTATAATTACTATATTTACTATTTTTTATTTCAATTTTATTTTAGGCTTTCAAGATTTAGGATGCTTTTATGATTACTTAGAAAATCGAACGCTTCCTGGCTTGAACGCCTGTAATTTGCCAGAGGCTGAAGAAATGTGCAATGAATGTACATCGGAACATCCATACTGCGAAAACACGCAAAGAATGACTGTTTCCTTTTGTACAGATTTATGCCACAGACGAGGCTTTCTCTACTCAGGGTTAGAGGCGGGAAAACAATGTTTTTGTGGAAATAACTTCGATCCATTAAATCCACCGAATGGTAAACCACCGAATAACGATAATTGTACTGAACCTTGCTCAGGCGATTCAAGTCAGATTTGTGGCGGAGAATTGCGAATAATTATTTACAAAAGTAAGTAGTCCTAGGCAAAGTTAAGTTTGTAAATTGGAAAACAAAATTGGTCGTAGAATGCCATTAATATCACCTTTAACTACCATCTTTTGCAGAATGTGTTATTACTGTATGTGAAATAGCAGTACTAATTGTCATTAGTGTTAAACATTAAATAATAAATAGATCTAATGGTTTTAAAGACAATTTCATGAACGCCAATCGATAGATAGGCTATATAATCCGCTTTCAAAGGAATTCGATTTGAAAACAATGATATCTTCATATTGAATTATTTCGGGCATTTGTCCTGACATCATTATCATATGAACATGGCTAAATACGAGAAATGTAATGACACTGATCAGAAAGTTTAAAGTTGTTTAAAGTTTTTCTAAACAGTATTTTTATTACCGGTATATAAACACCAGAGTCCAATACGAAAACGGCGGGAAAAAAAATCAGAAGCATTCCGATCATTAGCTAAAGAAATCACTTTTGAGTAATCTATTTTTTTCATTGGTATCATTATAAATTAAAAAAAAACCAATGACCGACTTTCATTACATATTTATTGATCATAACATAGTCTTTTTAACTTTTCTTTTATTTAGATGACGACTTCATGAACTGTTCAACATCAATTGACTTCAGTAATGGTACCGTTACTCCGAAACAAGACATATATGCTTCTGGAACAACTGTAAACCTTACATGCAATGACGGATTTTACCAAATGGGACCTACTAATTCATACTGTTGGTACTCAGGCGAATTCAGTCATTTGTCTAAAGATGTACAGCCCATATGCATAAGAGAATGTGTAGAGTTAAACCACGAAAGCATTACTGAAGTTAACCGAATGGTTCAATACCAAGGATTTTTCATTGTTGGAGATACCATAACTTACGAATGTAGTGTAGGTTATGAGTCAGAATCTGGTGTTTCGGTTGGTGATTTAGAATGTAGAGAGGATCGAATTTGGGCAGCAAACTTGCCAGTATGTAAAGGTAATTAATATTCTCTTGTTAATCAAATTATTTATATAAAAACTTTTTTTAATTTAAAAATAGTGGTTATCTGTTACTTAAATTTTTTATATATTCAGGTGTTTCATGTGGAAATCCTGGAACTCCAAATAAGGGTGAACTCATTGGTGAAATGTTTGTCTACCCAAACAGTGTTAGCTACAAATGTCAACCTGGATACACTATTGTCGGGTCTACAAACAGGACGTGTCAACCAGATAAGTCTTGGTCGGGAACATTACCATCGTGCAGTCGTAAGTCTTCCAGCTGTATATATATAGTTAAAAATGTTGCTAGCGCTTGCCTGTGTAAGAAGTCAGTTAGGTAATAATATTATATTGGCTTAATGTACGTAATAATATAAATTAATAAATTCTGATCACCTATTACATATTAGTTGGTCCCTAGCTGTCATCAACTGGTCGTATCTGCCATACTGACACATATTTTTGTTTTAGCTAATGACTGTGGTAACTTGGACAACATCGAAAATGGGATGACTTCCTATACTGGTACAACTTTCGGCATGAATACTACTTATACGTGTAACATCGGCTATAATATAAATGGAGTGATGATCAGAACTTGTGAAGCAACTGGACTTTGGTCGGGGTCACCTCCCACATGTGAAGGTATAGAATATTAATATATAAGAATTATATAGCTCTTATATCCATAAGAAATGCTCAATAATAATTGAAACAGCAGAAAAAAGGTTACCTGAAAGCAAAATCGGTCAATGAAACTATAGTATTTTTAGTGTAATTTTTAGAGAAAATGGAAAGTATTTTTTTTTTTGTGTTTTCTTTAATTATGTTTTGTAATAACATTTTACCTGAACCCTGTTTGCCAAGGTTAGTGATTTCTTTTGATTTTTGATTTTGTATATAACTAAGTAACTAAGTGTAGCAATCATAATATCATACTTGTCAATAATAGTGTATTAAAATTTGTAAAATATTTTGAAATTTATTATCTTTAAATGTCTTTTTTCAGTTGTTAATTGTGGGATAGTTTCTGTAGGAGAAGGGGTATTCATAAATGGCGGTATTTTCACTTACAATGCTGTCCTAATGTTCATATGTGACAGAGGATACAATAAAGTATCAGGCGATACCACTAGAACATGTCAGGCTGACGGCAACTGGTCTGGAAATGACTTGGTATGCGAAAGTGAGTATACAATCTTTAGAATACATGAACTAAAAGGATAGGAATAGTTTCCGTTGCAGGCTATGTGTTTGTTGTTTCATCTAAAAAACGGAACA